TTATGACCTAACATTATCGAAGCTGAAGTATTAACAGGATTGCAGGTAGAGAGGCTGTTCTGATTCCAAGAATTTGTCCCCATCTGACACTGGCCTCCCATTTAAATTGATTCGACGACGGTTTCCTGTGATGCCAGCGTTTGCGAAGACTATTAATAATCACAGGACAAACTCTAGCCCAGCCGTGGGCAAACTACGGCCCGCGGGCTGGATACGGCCCGTTTGAAATGGATAAAACTAAAAAAAAAAAAAAAAAACCCGTACCCTTTTATGTAATGATGTTTATTTTGAATTTATATTAGTTCACACAAACACTCCATCCATGCTTTTGTTCCGGCCCTCCGGTCCAGTTTAAGAACCCATTGTGGCCCTCGAGTCAAAAAGTTTGCCCACCCCTGTTCTAGACATCATCAAGGGCTTTACCTGCACAATGTGATCTAGAAACTAAGATACGGTTAGATACCAAGGAGGAGCGATGAGTAGTGTGAATGTAGGAGAAAATACCATCTGAGACGAACGCCCAGATCAAGAGACAGGAAGGAGGGGCCGGGGCGGGGGGGACGTGGTCAGGTCAGGGTGATGCGGACAGTTTTTATCGGGTGCAGGGCATGGTCAGTCCCTCCCTGCGGTCGCCCTACTTGTTCTGCCCTGGGACCCATCGGTTCTTCGTGTAGTCGGGTTGGAGCAGAAGGGACGACCGTCCCAGCGCTGGCCCCTCACCCAAGGCGCCCGCGAGCTGAGAATGGCCCCTGTCTTCCAGCCGCCGTCGGGTTCCTGGCCGTGTCCAGTGTCATCACCATGTCGGCGCCCTTCTTCCTGGGGAGGATCATCGACGTCATTTACACCAACCCCACCGGGGACTACAGCAGCAGCCTGACCCGCCTCTGCCTGGCGCTCAGCGGCGTGTTCCTGTGCGGAGCTGCGGCCAACGCCGTCCGTGTCTACCTCATGCAAACCTCAGGTCAGCGCCCTCCCCCCGGGGGCACGGAGGGGAGCCCCGGGGGTGTCGTGTGCTGCGGGCCCCAGGCTTTTCCTCTCCTCTGCATCACATTCAGCAGGGGGCCCGGCCGGCGTGGCTCAGTGGTTGAGTGTCGACCTATGAACCAGTGTTGGGGTCCAACCCCAGCAGGTCCAGGGGTTCCCAAAGGTGTGGACGGAGTCAGCGAAGAAAGAATGACACGGAGATAGCTTTCAGTTGATCAGCAGCCTAGCCAGGTTCTCTAGCCAGGGTCTCCAGCCAGGTTCTGTCCAGGATCTCCAGCCAAGTTCTGTGTAGGTTCTCTTGCCATGTTCTCTCGCTAGGTTCTCCAGCCAGGTTCTGTCTTGTTACAGCTGTATTTATACCAGTTGATTTTAATCCTGTCAATTTCTATTCCAAAGGTTAGGGCGTTTCTTATCTCCATTCCAGGGAGTAAAGATTGTGTAGCTTAAGCGTGATTGTTCATAGTTAAAGTGATTACCCCCCTGGCATTTAGTTAAGGAGTTTTATTCCCTCCCTAACTTCAGGGGAAAATCCCTACCTGGGGAAACAACCTTTCTCGGAGAGGTGACCTTGGTTAAAACACATAGCGGGCTACGCCCTCCATCTTGCCCCAGGGTAAGGGCTACGCCCTCCATCTTGCCCCAGGGTAAGGGCTACGCCCTCCATCTTGCCCCAGGGTAAGGGCTACGCCCTCCATCTTGCCCCAGGGTAAGGGCTACGCCCTCCATCTTGCCCCAGGGTAAGGGCTACGCCCTCCATCTTGCCCCAGGGTAAGTGCTCCATCTTACCTTGGCCATGTGCTTGGCAAGGAGCTTCCCGGAAGTCAGCCTCTGCTAGCCACACCCAGGAACAAGACACCGACTTGCGCCTGGCCAATCGGCAAGGCCACAGCCCTTTCTCCTCCCCTTACTCCAACCCCCTATAAAACCCCTCTCCACACTTTGTCAAGCAGCAAGGATGGACCGGCTTTCGGCAAACCAGGAGGTCCCAGTTCGATTCCCGGTCAGGGCACATGCCCGGGTTGTGGGCTCGATCTCCAGTGGGGGGCGTGCAGGAAGCAGCCGATCAGTGATTCTCTCTCATCATGATGTTTTGTTCTCTCTCTCCCTCTCCCTCTCTGAAATCAATACAAATATATTTTTTAAAAAAACAAACATTCAGTAGGGACACTGCCCGACGGTGGAGCTGTGGATTGTGATAGCTCAGTGCCTCTCAGCCCTCCTTTTACGTGACTTGGATTGAGCTGGGAGGGAGCAGCCGTCTGTGTTCCGGGAGGTGTGAGAGCACGGCTGTCACGCGGGAGGCTGGAGCGGGGCCTCCCTCCAGGCGGAGCCGGGTGATGCCTGGACAGTGTGTCTGTGTCAGGCCAGGTGGCTCGCGGGCACATGCCCGCCACAGTCACGACAGCGCCCCGGACGCCCGGCTCCGCGTCGGTTGCTGGCCATTGAGTGAATAAAATAAATACCCAGTAGATAATTAACCAGTTGTTGCCATTTGGAAGTTCAATACAGAAAAGGTTGCCGAGGAAGGACACCATTAGCTCTCGAGCAGTCACTGTAGTAAAACGTCTTTGTAAATAAGTCGTGAGCATCTCAGTCAGGTTATATTTGCACGATCCCGTAGCCTCTCCTCCGCCTCCCGGCTGCAGGGATGAAGGGAGAATAATGCTCATTTCTGGCAGCTTCTGCCCAGCTGCCAGGGCCCCGGTGAGTGTCCCCAGGGACCAACAGGGCAGCAGCCGAGCCTCCGAGGCCGCAGGCGGAGAGGTGCTGACCTCGGGTCCCTCGCTGACCGGCCCCGTTGGCTTTTGCAGGGCAGCGCATCGTGAACCGGCTGCGAGCTTCCTTGTTCTCCTCCGTCCTGAGGCAGGAGGTGGCTTTCTTTGACAAGACGCGCACGGGCGAGCTGATCAACCGCCTCTCCTCGGACACGGCGCTCCTGGGCCGCTCGGTGACCGAAAACCTCTCGGACGGGCTCCGGGCCGGGGCCCAGGCCTCTGTCGGGATCGGCATGATGGTACGTCCGCCCCGCTTGCGTCAGCACCTTCTGGTCAGGGCTGGGCCTGTGCCAGGCCTCTCGTGTCCGGGAGGAGCTCGGGGTGAGCTGCTCTCTTCCCTCTGTAGCCGCTGGCCAGAGCGCCGCCCCGCAGGCTGTGGGGACAGACACTGCTGCTTCCCGCATGGCCTCTTGCACTACATGTCCCAGGACGCAGTCCTATCTGGAGGCAGGACCGCTGCTTTAGAAAAGGTGGCGTGTGGCCTGGGCTTTCTGAGGATGCTCGAAGGCAGCAGGGGGAAGGAAGCTTCTGGTGCTGAGCAGTGGGTCCGAGGGAAGGCAGGAAGTCACACCCGCCACCACAGGCAGGGCCACCCCTGCCCGAGGGACCCCTTCCTCTCCTCCTCGCCTGGGAGGGAAGATCAGTCCCCCTCCTTCCAGGCGCCTCTCGCCACTCCCACGCCTTTGTGTTGTCCTAAGTCCGTGGTCGGCAAACTGCGGCTGGCGAGCCACATGCGGCTCTTTGGCCCCTTGAGTGTGGCTCTTCCACAAAATACCACGTGCGGGCGCACGTACAGTGCGATTGACACTTCGTGGCCCATGTGCAGAGGTCGGTTTCCGGCCTGGGCGAGTCTATTTTGAAGAAGTACTGTTGATATTTGGCTCTGTTGACTAATGAGTTTGCCGACCACTGTCCTAAGTGAATGAGTGAATGAATGAATGAACGAATGATTGGTTCTGTCCATTACTTTACACTGTAGTCTGCTGCTTTTTCTCAGCATTTTAGAAGAGCCTTGTTCTGATTATGCTATTTTCTGAGCAAATGAGATTTGCCAGATCTTAATAATTTGTTGAAGGGGTGCCAGTACCGTTTAAGATACCGTCACCAAATTGCAGGGTTGACAGGACACCCCACCAGGCCACTTCTGGAAGTCGGCTGTTTCTTCTTTGAGCAGGTCCAGCTGTCAGGAGTCGCTCCTCATGCTGAGTTCAGATCCACGTGCTTCCGTCCACTGACCAGGGAAGCGCTGTAACTCTCCTGCCCTTGTGGGTTATGTCTCCCGCCAGGTCCCTTCCGTCTGCCCGTCGCAGGACGCGGGTGTGTTCGGTCTCTTTGCCGTCTTGGTCATTTCAGTGGGACCCGTGGCTCAGGTTGTTCAGTGGCCTCGAGGCGGTCCAGACCTGGGCCCAGAATTCCTGCTGTGGTCCCGCAGCGTGAGCAAGCGGGCCTCTCCCTCACTCCCGCCAGCTCCCCTTCTCTGTCGATGAACCCCATGGTCCAGAGCGGCGGGGGTCAAAGGCTCCCGCCCTGTCTGCAGCAGCTCTTGGTCACGTGACTCCTGTGTGGCATGCTCAGTATTCGTGGGTTTTATGAAAAGTTCCACCAGTACAGCCTGTCTCTTCATTGAAACACACACACACACACACACACACACACACACACTCACCTACAATAGGTCGTGAGAATTTGCTGCTACTCTGTGTAACAAATACCTTCTGGCTTTGTTTCTGACAGTTTTTTGTCTCGCCGCATCTGGCCACTTTCGTTTTGAGTGTGGTGCCTCCAATATCCATCCTTGCCGTGATTTATGGACGATACCTACGGAAACTGACCAAACTCACTCAGGACTCCCTGGCACAAGCCACGCAGGTACAGGCCTTCCTTGGCACGGTCCCCCCTGAGTGAGCTCAGAGCCACCCGTGGGCGGACCCTAGGAAATGTGCTCGGACTTGGCAAAAACTGCTTACTTTCCCTTAACGTTAGAACTAAAATACGCTGCCTTCTAGACTAGATCACTACCCACGTGGCAGAATAGATCCAGCTTAACTGAACATGACCTGGACTTCTTCCTTCTTCCATCACTGTTTCTTGTAGGACAAAAAAGCTAACCATATTTTCCAAACACTTTCTGGGTGCCACTCTGTTCTCCGTTAATTAATAAAGGTAGCTTTGCAATGCTGTCCAGTATTGTCTTCTTAAAAAATTAAAAATAATTCTTACGTTTTCGTATTACAAAAACCATCCATGTTTCTATTTGAAAATATAAAGGGAAAAAATAATAGGCATCAGCCTGCCTCTCAATTAACATTATTAATATCTTGGAGCCTGTCCTTTTTATGTCTTTTTCTCTGCATGAAGACATAGTTCTGTATCTAGCTGTATACCCTCCGGTTTACCTTTCCATGTACCTCTATATAAGCTGTGCATCTGCATAGATCGATGTTTCCAAAAATAAGATTGTTTGGGACTCTCTCCTTTGCAGCCTGTTTTTGACTTAGTCACGTGTCCCTGCAACTTCCATTGCTCGTGTCTTAAAAATGAGAGCCGGTTTTCAGTTGTGCCTCCAGAACTCTTGACATGTGACCTTGCCCCCCCGCCATCCCTGCAACTTCCATTGCTCGTGTCTTAAGAATGAGAGCCGGTTTCCAGTTGTGCCTCCAGAACTCTTGACATGTGACCTTGCCCCCCCGCCCCCCGAAATGTCTTTGTTCTCCCAGCTAGCTGAGGAACGCATCGGAAACATCAGAACCGTTCGAGCTTTCGGGAAAGAAATGACTGAAATCGAGAAATACACCAGCAAAGTGGACTTCGTGATGCAGTTAGCAAGGAAAGAGGCGATCGCTCGGGCAGGCTTCTTCGGAGCAGTAAGTGCATCGTTGTGGAAAGGGAAGAAGGCGGATGTTGTCATTGGGAGAGAGTGCTATTCTGTGACTCTGGCCATAGATAGAAAGTGAGTCTATTCTACCTCAGGACTAAGAATTGTCTTCCTTAGAGTGTTTTTGTGAGAGAGAAGGAAACCAATAAATGTAAGGAAGGAAAAGGCAGTGGGCAGGGAGACCAGACACTGTGGGATCAGGCACTGGTTCTCAGCGTCACGTGGGTGCTGCTCAGACAGGCAGACTGTCCACCCCTTCCAGACCTGTTGAACCGGAAACGCTGCGGTGGGGCCGGCAGTCTGTTTGAACAGGTTCCCCGCGTCCTCTGCTGTTTCCAAAAGCATAACCTCAGTGCGCTTCGAGAAGGAAGTGCCCCAGACTGATCATCATGAACTAGACAGGACACTGACCTAGAAGCTCACCACGAAGGCAGATTCGTAACATGTCCGATCTGGACAGAACTGCACAGGTGACGCATAATGGCCGGATTCAGCAGGTAAGGAACAGGCCCCGAGGAGGCAGCGCCCACCCGAGACCCCACATCCGACCGGTCAAGGTGGATCAGAGATCCCGGACTCCAGTCTCCTGGCCCGTCCGTGCCCAGGCGTCACGTTAGACTGTGTAAACACACATGTCAGTTATGTGCTCACTGCCTCCAGTTAGGGAAGGAATCCTTCATGTAATTTTTTTTCTTTTGCAAACCGAGCAGATAGAGTAGAATAGGAACCCGAGGGGTGACTCAGCTTCTAGGTTTCCGTGTTGATGAGATTATTTCTTTGGATATCGCAGTGTTTTTAAAGAAATTCAGAGGAAAACATAATAGTTTGGAGAAGCCTTGCTGTGATAGTTAAATGAGGAAGGGGGTTACAGGCCGTGGTCTTGCTGTCTGCTGTGTGGGTCTCTGCCTCCCCCCTGACTTCTGCGTTTCCTTCACTCGACAGACCGGGCTCTCTGGGAACCTGATCGTGCTCTCCGTGCTGTACAAAGGCGGGCTGCTGATGGGCAGCGCCCACATGACCGTGGGCGAGCTCTCTTCCTTCCTCATGTACGCTTTCTGGGTTGGATTGAGCATCGGAGGTATATGATCTAACCAGGCGTGGGGAGTTACACGTGGAAAATCGGGTTCTAGTTTCTGAAAGTAAAACTTCACTCTCCTACTGTTCCATCTCTCAGCAAGTAACTGCACCTGAAAAAGCTCTGTCCTAGAATCTTATTCCCACTCGACCATGTTTCATCTTCTGAGGACCCCCATACTGCTTTACATAGTGGCTGCCCCCCTTCACAACCCCACCACCAGCGCACACAAGTCCCCATCTCTTCACATCCTATCCAGTACTTACTATTGGTTGACTTTTGACAATAGCCATTCTGACAGGTGTGACGGGATATCACTGTGGTTTTGACTTGCATTTCCCTGATAACAAGTGATACTGAGCATCTTTTCATGTCTGTTGGCCATCTGTGCGTCTTCTCTGGAGAAATGTTTATTCAAGTCAGAAAGCCCAGGAATAAACCCACAGTCAGAGGGTCAGCTAATCTACAGTAAGAGAGACAGGATTATACAGGAGGGAAATGAGTCTCATCAGTAAATGGTGTTGGGAAAACTGGATAGATATATGCAGGAAAAGATAGGACACTGGACCACTCTCTTACATGATATACAAAAATAAGCTCAAAATATATGAAAGACTTAAATACTGGTACACAGAAGACCTAAAACCAGAAAACTCCTAGAAGAAAACATAGGCAGTAAACTCCCTTTGACATCAGTCTTAGCAATATTTTTTTGGATATGTCTCCCTGAGCAAAGGAAACAAAAGAAACAAGTGGGACTACCTCAAATTAAAAACTTTCTGCACAGCGAGGGAAACCACCAATAAAACGAAAAACAACCTACTGGGTGGGACAGAGGTCACTTTAAGAAGAGATTGTTGGGGTATTGAACATTGCCAGATTCCTGTTCAGTCTGTAGCCCAGTAAAAGTTGAATTTTGAATGCCTAAAAGGTAGGTTTGGTTTTTGTAGGTATGAATATTGGGGTACGTTATTTCCCTTCAAGTATAGGCTAAGCATTATGTTTTATTTATATTGCTATGTTTCTGGCTCGGCAGAATTTCCTCTGTAGCACTGTGCTTTGAATTCAGTGGTTGATTAGTGCGGCCGTATGTATTTGTAAATTCCCTGACCATCCACTAAATCCTCATTAGAAATCAGGGAAATCAGAGGAGAAGAAGCTGAAGGAGAACGAGGGTACGAGTCTGAGGGGATTCTGCCCATGGGTTCCCAGGCAGCTGGCTCGGGTCCTTCTTTGAAAGCAGCAGGTTTTACGTTAAAAGCACCTGTCACTTTGCCCAGCGGGATGGGAGCAGCCGACGGCTGTGGCCGGCACCAGTGACGGATGTAGCGTCTCCCCTCAGGTCTGAGCTCGTTCTACTCGGAGCTGATGAAAGGACTGGGCGCCGGGGGCCGCCTCTGGGAGCTGCTGGAGAGGAAGCCGGGGCTGCCTTTCGACGGTGGGTCTGCAGCGCCTTTGCTCTTTCTCGTGGGGGTCAGGTGTGCTCCCTGCCCTGCCTGCAGGAGGGGCACGAGGGGGGAGGTCAGCAGCGGGGCGGGGGGCCCCGGGATGTCCCTGGAAGCACAGGGCTGACCACAGGCTGTGCCGCCCACCGCTCACCTCCCCGCAGGGGCCCTGTTGCCAGGGGCCAGGGCCCTGCTCCTCCCCCATCTGTTCTCCTTGGTGGTTGTGATGCGTGTATGGGGGGCAGGAGGAAAGGAAGAGGCATCATACGTGTAAAAGCCTCCGCGTGTATTGGTTTTAGGGGATGGCGTGAGGAATGCTGGTGCTGATGGTCTTGGCCAGCTGCTTCCCTGGAGGCCAGTCCTCAGGGCTCAGGAGGAGTGGCCGTGAGCTGTGACCATCCCCAAGCCCTCCTGGGGCCTTGCTGGCGAACGCCCAGTATTGCCCAGTGCCCTCCAGGACCGGGGCGGGGGAAGTAGCCCAGGGGGCACCAGACAGCATGGACCCTGCCCTCTCTGCTCCGTGGCTGGGGTGTGTCGTCATTCTCTCAGAACACGGATTGAGAGCAGATCAGACGAACCCGGGAGCAAGGGAGCGACAGAGGCTGGCTCAGGGCGGCGGGAGCCCCCTCCAGGCCGTGGTCGCTCGGGCAGGTGGTTGGCTGTGAGCACAGTGACCTGCAGGGGAGCTGGGACGGTACCTTCCACCTCTCGGGGCTGCGAGAAGCAAACAGGGCCTGTGCACTGCCTTGGCTGGGGGGCGTGCGGAGCAGCTAAGGGTAGACAGAGGCCTCTTCCTGACTTGCCCGGGGAGCACCCCCAGGGCTTCTGGGGGCGGCGTGTTAGTCAGACAGGTGGGAGCTGTGTTCACCTGGGACTGCCCTCTGCACTGAGTGATGATGCTCCATCTTCCGTTTCAGAGGGGCTGACCTTGAACGAGAAGAGCTTCCAGGGTGCGCTGGAGTTCAAGAACGTGCACTTCACCTACCCGGCTCGCCCCGAGGTGCCCATCTTCCAGGACTTCAGCCTCTCCATCCCCTCGGGGTCCGTCACGGCGCTGGTGGGCCCCAGTGGGTCCGGCAAATCCACGGTGGTTTCCCTCCTGCTGAGGCTGTACGACCCCCTTTCAGGTGAGCGGGTGGGTCCTCACCTCGGAGGGAGGGCGGGGCTGTTCTCGCCCGTCTCACGCCTGTGCCCTGCACGAGGGCTCGAAGGTGCAAAGAGCTGGGGGGAGAATTTATATCAACTTCAAAATGCTCGGGAGACTTTAAAAAGGCCCAACGGCGTCCGTTTTAATGTAAGATCGTCCCGAGGTGGCGTCCGTCGGTCTCTCCTTTTGTGAGACTTTCAACCTTTCAAAAACGGCACCTGGAGCCTCCCTGCCCGACCTGGTGTTTACGCGTCGGTGGCCCCTGACCAGTGGCTTTCCTCCCTCCGCAGGGACCATCAGTCTGGACGGTCGTGACATCCGCCAGCTGAACCCCGTCTGGCTGAGATCCAAGATCGGGACAGTGAGTCAGGTAGGAGGAAGGGGGTTTTTTTATTGTGTTTTTCTTTTAAAGCTGCATTTGTCGCTCGCTTTTTGCTTGGTCGTGAGTCTCCGTGAGAAGGATGGTGGTTTTCCAGATGCGCTGAACGGGTCTCACGTGGCAGATTGCATAGGTTTGTAAACAGTGCCGTTTCTCAGGACCTCACGCACTTTAACCCATTGAAGCACTGACTTTTTAAACTTATTTTTTATTTATTTTTAAAATATATTTTCATTGATTTCAGAGAGGAAGGGAGAGGGAGAGAGAGATAGAAACATCCATGATGAGAGGGAATCATTGATCAGCTGACTCCTGCACGCCCCACACTGGGAACTGAGCCTGCAACCTGGGCATGTGCCCTTGACTGGAATCAAACCCGGAACCCTTCAGTCTGCAGGACGATGCTCTATCCACTGAGCTGAACCAGCTAGAGCTGGTTTGTGTATATTTCAAAAAGCAATGTCCTCGGTGGAAGGCAGGCCGCCGGAAAATGCAGATGGGCTTGTGGTCTCCCAGGGCCTCACGACTCCCAAGATGAGGGAACATGCATTTATGAAGTGCCTACTGTGTGCCGAGCGCCGTGCAGGCATCTGCCCTGGGATCTCCCTCCCTGCGGTGGGTGGGAGCTACAGATGATGAGATCAGTCCTGCTGGGCGATGCATGAGGAATGAGGAGGTGGAGCCAGGAAAGCAGCATGTGCTCTTTGGGGGCAGTTTAATAGTCTCTCAGATGTAAGTGCTGTGCGGAGTGAGCCCCACGGTGTTCGCTAGGCGTGTGAAGTCTGTTTTGAACTTTGAGGTCAACATGTTTTATCTCCAATTTGCAGGAACCAATTTTGTTCTCTTGCTCAATTGCTGAGAACATTGCTTACGGGGCCGAGGACCCTTCTGCGGTGACTGCTGAGCAGGTGGAGAAGGTGGCGGAAGTCGCCAACGCAACTGCTTTCATCCGCAGCTTCCCGCAGGGGTTCAGCACTATGGTCGGAGAAAAGGGTGTTCTTCTCTCAGGTGCCTATTGTTCTGTTTTTAAATGTATTTCTATTGATGTCAGAGAGGAAGAGGGAGGGACAGAGAGAGAGAAACATCAATGAGGAGAGAGAGTCACTGATCCCTGCCTCCTGCACACCCCACACTGGGGATCGAGCCCGAAACCTGCCCTTGACCAGAATCGACCCTGGGACCCTTCAGTCCGCAGGCCAACGCTCTATCCACTGAGCCAAACCGGCTAGGGCTGTGCCAGGCATTTTCTAAACGCATTACACGTATTATCTCATTTAATCTTAAAAAACCCTATGAAGCAGATCCTATCACTGTTCCCTTTTCACTGGGGCACAAGAGAAGCTGTCCAAGCTGGGAAGTGGCAGAGCGGAGTCTGCACCTGCAGGGCAAGGGCCACAGGGAAACCAGGAGCCCAGGGAACCCCAGGTTCCTGAGCAGAACATGCAGAGGACGGGAGCAGAGAGCATCTCCCTCAGAGCGTCACCCCTGACCCTTCCTTCCTCACACTATGCTCCTCTTGCCCCGGCCCAGAGAAGAAACGGGGGGAAAATCAATGGAAAAAATATCCTCGGTGAGGATTAGAAAAGAAAAGAAAAGAAAAATGGCCTGGTACATTGGAACACCTCAGTTAATGTTAGCTAGCATAGTATTGTTACTGTGAATCCTGAGGTTAATGAGGAGGAGTATATTTTAAAACAGGTTCTGTCCTGCCATCTGTCCTAGTGAGGGCTTCCTGGGAGGAGCTGCCTTCCAGTTGCCACATGGCTTCTTAGAAAAGCTGTTACCAGGAATTGGTGTTCAGGCTTTGCATTAAAACACCCCTGTCGTTGCCAGGTGGGCAGAAGCAGCGGATCGCCATCGCCCGGGCGCTGCTGAAGGTGAGCCTGCGGCCCCACGGGGCGGTTGTTTAGCTTTTCATAGAGACCTTGTAACTTGTCATTTACTATTTTCCTTCTCCCTGTCCTTCCCTTTTTCCTTGGAGGGGAGGGAAGATACATGATTGACAGTTCTGGTGAGAGAGGAGTGAGGCCTTCCATGAGTGCACGCTGTCCAGACTTAACCAGTATTTTGGGGATATGAGGAGGCCAGGCCTGTGCTGGGATTGACAGAGGGAGAAGCATTCAGTGTATCGAATGAAACAGTGATCGTATCAGAATCTAGAACAGGACCAGTCTGCTTGCTGGTATAATCCGTAATCAGCTGCTAAGCTGAGTAATACAGACTTGAAATACTTGTCCAAGACTTCTGAGAGGAAAGGGAACACATTTTAGCTGGAAGTCAGACATGGGATGTTTTAGGAAGGGATAGTCTTTCCTCTGTTATTTAACGACTCTCCTCCGATGGATAAGTGATTTAAAAAACTGCTTTATTGAAGCATAACTTACACACCAGGAACTTCCATTTTCAATGTACTTCCAGTGACTTACAGTAAATTTACAGTTACTCAACCATCACACAATCAAAACAAAACAAATATTTCCTTTTTATGTTAGAGCATTTCTATCCCCCTCAGATAAACCCTTGTACCACGTGTCGCCTTTCCCCGTTCCCAGCCTCAGCCTCAGGCGCAGTTCATCTGCTCGCTGTCTAGACTGGCCTCTCTGGCCATCTCAGCTCGATGGAATCGGACAAGAGATGGTCGTTAGCCTCTCTCACTAGCTTATGTCTTTGCCTTTCCTCATGTTGTCGCCTCTGTCAGAACTCTCTTCCTGTCTGTGGCTGAGTGGTACCCTCCGTGGGGCTGGCCCACGGGCTGTGTATCCGTTCACCACTGATGACATCGGGGCTGTTTCCAGTTTGAGGCCCTTGTGAATAGCGCTGCTGAGAATAATGGGGCAGAGGTTTGGGTGGACACGTTTTCCTTTCTTGTGATCAACCCCTGGGCCAAGCTAGGATGGAGTGTGTTAGTACATCAGCTCCCCTTACGTTTTCGTCTTACGTGCTGCTCCCAGTGGAATAGCAGGCAGGGCCTGGAGGGCCTGGCTTCCGTGGGACTCACTTCAGAGCTGCCTCGCACTGCAGTTGATTGGCATCAGGAAAAAGTGCCCTGAGAGCAGCACCCAGCCCCGGGGTCACTGTGATACGGTCTCAAGTCGCCTCCAACCCCCCTTCTGTGCTTATCACAGTCACCTACGAACTTGTGGTTCTCTTTCTCTGCAGCAGTTCTGTTGTGATATAATTCACACACTCTACAACTCACCCATGAGAAATGATAATTCAGTGGGTTTTCGTGTATTTAGTGTTGTGTATCCATCCCAGAAGCAATGTTAGGACCTTGTCATCACCCCGGAAAGAGATGCCGTCCGCTGTCGCAGTCACCCACACCCCCTGCCTTGTGGCCCCAGGGACCCCAGCCCCCAGGGACCACGGACCTGCTCTGTTGCTAGGGATGCGCCTACTCTGGACACTCCCTGTAGAGTCACACGACATGTAGCGTTTCGCGTCTGACTTACTCACTGAGCAGAAGGTTTTCAATGTTCATCATGTTGTATCATGTACGGCACTTCATTTATTTTCATTCCTGGGAGTTTGTGTTTTTCTAATAACAATGTTTTCTTTTTCATGTTTTTCCTTCTTTAGAATCCCAAAATTCTCCTCCTGGATGAAGCCACCAGGTGAGGATATCTCAGTACCACATGTGATTATATACAGCGAAGGCTTCCTTTTCCAAAGACTCACCTTCCTGTACTTTACAGTGTTGCCACTGCCAGGGTCCTTTCCCTACTTTATTTATTTATTTTTTAATATATTTTTATTGATTTTTTACAGAGAGGAAGGGAGAGGGATAGAGAGTTAGAAACATCAATGAGAGAGAAACATCGATCAGCTGCCTCCCGCACACTCCCCACTGGGGATGTGCCCGCAACCAAGGTACATGCCCTTGACCGGAATCGAACCCGGGACCCCTGAGTCTGCAGGCCGACACTCCATCCACCGAGCCAAACCGGCCAGGGCCCTTTCCCTACTTTAAAATGACCGAGTCTGTCTGAGTGAGTGACAGTCGGGAGGTAGGGGCAAGCTGAGCCTGGAGGGAGGGTTGTAGCTCCAGGTGAGACACGTGTGTGATGAGTCCCCGATCACTCCCATCAGCTTCTACTTATGTGACAAGTTTTGCGGAAATGTAGAGGCCCCACTTCCTGGTTAATAGCACCGTTATACTATCAAACATGTAAAGTAGACCCAAGAAGTTACCATCTAGAATTCAGTGGTTCTCAACCTTCCTAATGCCGCGACCCTTTCATACAGTTCCTCATGTTGTGGTGACCCCCAATTTCATTGTTACAAATTGAACATAATTAAAGCATAGTGATGAATCACAAAAACAATATGTAATTATAGATGTGTTTTCCGATGGTCTTGGGCGACCCCTGTGAAAGCGTCATTCGACCCCCAAAAGGGTCAGGACCCACAGGTTGAGAACCGCTGATCTAGATCCTAGTGAACATTCACTGCTAGCGCAGGGCCACTGTGTGTGTAAAGCGAATGCATGGGCCGCAGTCTGCCTGGCACTGACTCTTTGCTTTCTCGCTGGTTTCCCGCTCAAGTGCGTTGGATGCTGAGAATGAGTATCTGGTGCAGGAAGCTCTGGACCGACTCATGGAAGGAAGGACAGTGCTGATCATTGCCCATCGTCTGTCCACCATCAAGAATGCTAATATGGTGGCTGTTCTCGACCGAGGAAAAATTATCGAATGTGGGAACCATGATGAGCTGCTTGCCAAACCAGACGGGATATACAGAAAATTAATGAACAAACAAAGCTTCGTGTCAGCATAAAGAAGCAATTGCTGGCCAAGTGAATCCAAGAGACTTTAAAACCAAACAGCACTGCAGGGGGGAAATTCCTTAGAGAGGGTATGGAATCTGTAAATGATACTTCGAGTTATTTGAAATAGGCCTATTTTTCCCAAAGTATATAAACTATTGTTTTGAGATGAACCTGTTCTCAAAACCTTTACAGTCAGAGTTTTAATAATTATAACTTTCTAAATGTCTATAGCACTGAAGTTATTTTCAGGTTTTATACTTTATTTTATCTTGGAATATTTTCATACAGCATGGCACCTCATTTTTTTTACCTGCTGTTCGAGATGGAAGTTATTGTCAAATGACAACTTTAAAAGGGAATTATAAATTAAAAGGCCTAATTATTTTAGGCCAGTTTGCCAATCACTGTGTAATTCTCTTGGTAGTATTCTGCCCTCTTTGGGTCGAATGGTACCGGGTTGTGTCATAGAACAGTGGTCAGCAAACTGCAGCTCTTTGGCCCCTTGAATGTGGCCACGAAGTTTCAATCGCACTGTACGTGTGTGCCCGCACGTGGTATTTTGTGGAAGAGCCACACTCCAGGGGCCGCAGTTTGCCGACCACTGTCATAGAAGATGAAAACCTAGCCGTTTATTTTATCCTCATGCTCATGAAGTGAACCTGAGTGTCATACATACAGAGGTAGTGACTGTCTCCTGGCGAGAAGGGAACGTTCTCATTCTCCATCCCCTGCGTCTTCAGAGGCATGAGAGTGCAGGAGGCTGTGTCCCTCTGGAACGAGGCTGTGTGTGGGTGTGTGTGGTCTTTAACGTTTTGGGCACATGAGAGCCTGATGAGTTTGAAAAGGGGAAGAGGCAGCCCCATCTTTGCCCAGGAAAACTTCTATTTTCACTACTCACATATTTCTCTCTGTGAGCCCCCCCGGAAAGTGAGGCGTGGGCTGCCAGGCATTATCAAGAAAGATGTAAAAATGAATTTTACATGATGTTATCTAAGGCTTGTTCTGAAAATTGTACTTTAAAAATGTATAAGCCCTAACCCAAATTTGACGGCCTTTTCTCAGTTACTTAAATACATTTGAAGTGTCATTTAATGAGGCTAAAATCTGAATAATGTAACTGTAATTTTCAACCTTAAAACATTTGAAGAAAGTTTAGACCAGGGGTGGGCAAACTTTTTGACTCGAGGGCCACAATGGGTTCTTAAACTGGACCGGAGGGCCGGAACAAAAGCATGGATGGAGTGTTTGTGTGAACTAATATAAATTCAAAGTAAACATCATTACATAAAAGGGTACGGTCTTTTTTTTTTTTTTAGTTTTATTCATTTCAAACGGGCTGTAGTTTGCCCACGGCTGGTTTAGACGTTCTTGCTATTCTACAGAATATCAAGAAACCTTAAGAACTTGTCAGTCTTCTGAAAAGAGGACATTAATAACTCTCTTCTATTTATAACTATAGTTTCATTCACCTGAACGCCTCAGAATTCCTAAAGCAGTGCTGACAACCACCAGATTTGCCAAATTTCATGTCAGTGCTGATCACTTGCTCTTGCCTCCAGAAAAAGTGCTTTTTTTCTGCATAGGTGATGCCAGACCCAAGAAGTAACTATGTTGAGATAAGTAAAATGGAAGTTTCCTCCTGTACTAAGTAATTGTTAGTTCCCTGGTTAGACTGGAAGAAGAATCCACTATTTCATGATAAGCAGGGAGACATATAATTCATTCTACATCAGGGAATTCATTCATGAATAAGTGGGCTGTGTGTTTTGGGTTGGTAAACAGTACACCTGTGACCATCATTTGAACAGACTTCACTTGTCGTCTCTGCAGTGTGCTGTGACGGACGGTGTGGTTCAGCAGCTACAGAGCTGAGCTCGAGGGAAGTCTGTGCCATAGAAGGACTTACAAACCCGAACTTGATCATTATGTGTCATTTTCTAATACAAGATGTTCAGTGTGTCTTTAGGTTACATTTATATCGTGGATTAAAATTTATAGTGAACTTTATCTGTGTCTGTCTCTTTTCTGTTTTTGCTATTTTTATTCAATTTATTGGGGTGACTGATTTACAGCATTATATACCAGGTAAGTTTCAAGTGTGGACGTCTACAATACCCTGCAACCAAGTATGTGCCCTTGATCGGTGATTGAACCTGCAACCCCTCTGGTGTGTGGACCAGCGCTCTAACCACGGAGCACACTGGCCAGAGCTTGATGTTGTTATTTTCAAAGAACCAGCTCTTGGTTGCATTCATTTTTCAATTGTATTTTTTCTCTATTTTGTTTAATTCTCTGATTTTTACTATTTCCTTCCTTCTACCGACTTTGTTCTTTTTCTAGTTACTCAGGGTGAAATGTTAGGTTGTTTAGTTGAGATGTCTCTTATTCTTGAGGTAAGTCTGTAATGCTGTAAACTTCCTTCTTAGTACCGCTTTTGCTGCCTCTCTCAAATCTTGCTGCCACGTGGTCATTCTCATTTACCCCTATTACCTTTCGATCTTCTATTTCTTCTTTGACCCAGTCTTTGTTTAGGACCATGTTGTTTAATCTCCACATATTTGTGGTTCTTTTCCGCTTCCTTTTTGTAGTTGATTTTTCCATTTCAAAGCATTGTGGTTGGAAAATATCCTTGGTATGATCTCAATCTTCTTAGGTATGTGAGCCTACTTTTGTGTGTGTTGAGAATGTTCCATGTACACTAGAGAAGAATGTATATCTTCCCTACTGTTCTGGGATGAAACACTTGGTAAATATCGATTATGTCCATTTGGTCTAATGCATCATTTAAGACTGATATTTCCTTATTGATTTTTCTATTTGGATGATCTGTCCATCACTGTCAATGGGGTATTCAGGTTCCCTACTATAAATTTGTTTTCGTCAGTTTCTCCCTTTAGTTCTGTTAGTGATTGCTTTATGTATTTTGGTGCTCTCTGGTGGGGTGCATATATATTAATAAGTGTTATGTCTTCATGATGTATTGTTCCCTTTATCACTATGAAATATCCATCTTTGTCTCTTGTTACCTTTTATATCTTGAGATCTATTTTGTGTGATATAAATACAGTTATACCTGTTTTTCTCTGAATGCCATTTTCCACCCCTTCACTTTGAGTCTGTCTTTGCAGCTAAGATGTGTCTCCTGAAGGCAGTGTGTATATTTAGAGTGAATATTGATATATGAAGATTTCCTATAGCCTATAGATTTACCTTTTTTATTTTATTGTCACCCTTACAGATGTTCCCATTTCCCCACCCCCACCCCTTGGCCTACCTCTGCCAAGCCCCCTCCCTTCCCTGTGACCATCAGCCAATGTTGTGTGTGTCTCTAGGTCATGCATACATGCCCTTTGGCTAATCCTTTCACCTTCCG